TAGTACTACCAAGTTGAACTTTTCCAACAATAGCTTCACGTTTTCTATCCGATACAGATATGGCAAATACTTCAATCAATGGTAATTTACTTAAAATGACGCACCAATGAGGAAAAAGAAGATTAGTATTATCATTATTATTTCCATCAAATATTTCTGTTATAAAATAATTTTCACGAATAAATGAACATTCTTGTAACCGTTGTAGTGCAGTACTAGTAACTTCATTTAAACCAATTATAGTGGGATTGAGATTAATGATACCATTACAAAGCCATTCATATCTTTCAGCACTTCGAATAGCCATTTCAATAAACCATGGAAAACAATGTGCAAGTATATTCAATGTAGCTATTCGAATTGGTTTATTAATTTTTGGCACTGTATTTTCTACATTTGTAGCAATATTAACTGATGATCTGGATTCTAATTCGGAATGAAATGATTTAGTGACGATAGCCCATTTTGTACCATCCTAACGATAACTGCATAATTCGCGTCGAGACATTCAGATATTTGTTTAGTTAAAAATTTATCTTTGTTTCTATAAATGAGAAAATTAAATAAACGATATTCGAACCTAAAAATTAGATAGTTTTATGTCACATAGAGCTCAATAAATATTATTTTTATCTTGAATAGATTTTATTTCGATATTCATCTCTGATGATAATAGATAAAAATAAAAATGATAACAATGAAAATACATAGATCAAGTCTCATATTCAAAGGGATTTTCCACTCATATTTAAATGATTCTATTGAATTTTCAATGCATAAGTTAAAGTGTTCACAATGCAGATTTACAGCAATTCTTTTTGTTATAGTTGGTGAGAACTCATCAAATTCTACAAAAATGTATATGTCACCATTTTTCAAGCATTAGTTAAATTTCGTTCGTTTCGATATTTTTCACTTATTTTAGGATCAGAAAAAAGTTGAATAGACTTTTCAAAAGTATAGCTCCATTGTTGAGAAATTCACTTGTTTAGATACCAACAGTAAAATTGTCTAAAACTGGACTCATATTCGAAAGTTTCGACTATGGAAAATTTTATTCCTAATTAAAACACACATACTATCCAAAATTAAGACAAAAACACTATCGAATTGTTTAACTATTACGAAAAGAAATTTCTACCAAAATTTGATCTCTACTTCTCTTTAATGTTCTTTCGACATAGTTCTAAATGTGGTCTTTTGGGTCGAGTTTTGGTAGGAAATTATTTTTTATGATAATGAAACAATTTGATGAAGGTTTTTGTGCTAATTCCAAATAGTATGTATCTTTTGGTTAGAAATAAAATTTTTGTTGGTCAAAATCCATGAATATGAACTTATTTTTAGGCGATTTACTGCTGCTATTTAAACGCAAATATCTCAAGAACGAAACTATATGTTCTAAAACATGAGACACATTCTTCCTCCACCCCGTCTCTATCGTAACAAATACCCTAGCAATTTCTTCCTTCCCTC